CAGAGATCCACCTGCCTCTGCCTCCCGATGCTGGGATTAAAGGCGTGCACCACCAACGCCCAGCTGTAAAAATATTTTTAAACTATATTTTTGTAGTTATGTAACTTGCCTTCCCTGTCCTTGACTTTGACACTGGGGATTGATTCAAAGGCCACATGCATGGTGGCAAACACTTTACACATCTGGAACTCTGTGGGCTTTAAAAAAGACAAGAAACAAGATGGTAAGACAGCTCTGAGTAAAGGCTCTTGTCATGCAAGCCTGTCCACCACAGTGAGAGGAGAGAAGTGACTCATTTGTCCTCTGACCTTTGTACACCAAGGCCTACACTCAAACACCACACACACACACACACACACACACACACACACACACACACACACACACACTCAACTGTTTTGAAAGATAGAGGGAGAAAGGGAGGGAGGGAAGGGGAGATGAATCAAAGAACCCTTGTTTTCCTACAGTTATTTTATGTTTTAATTATTATTAGTGACTTATCATTTCAACACAGGAATCTGCTGGGATTTTGCTAGGCTCTGGGGTGGGAGAAACTACATTGTTGTTTTCAGAAGATCCGCAAGCTTAGATTCTGCTGCTTGTCCTTCATACCCAGTAGGAAATGGAGCACACAGAGAAGGAAGAGGACAAGGACAAAGAGTGACATGCTCCATGTTTTCCATTTACCAGTCCTTTCGTTCCCACCCCCAGTCTGCCGCAGTACTTACAAAGGGGATGTGCTGCTCTTCATTTATTAATTCATCATAGTCATATGTTTCTACAACTTGATGCTTTGCACTTCAAACTTTTCTAAAATGCAGATATTCCACCCAGGTGGAGTGTTGAACTCATCATACCTTAAACGGCTAATCACCAATACCAGATGGTCATTTATGGTATTTGGGGCAGCAGGGTAGTGACCAAGGAAGGCAGGCCCATTAGGTAGACACAGGGGAAGGAGGGAGACGAGTTGAAAACTGGACCTGCTTTGTCTAGCTGTACACCTTGAATATTTCATCTTAAGGAATCACAGATTGTTGACCTCACAGCAATCATTGAACTTAATCTCTTTGTTTTAAATATATTTACATTTTTGTATGTGTCTGTGTGTATGCCTGAGTGTACATATGTGCACCACATTCATGTAGGAGCCTGTGGAGGTCAGAAAAGGGCATCAAATCTTGTGGGACTGGAGTTATAGATGGTTGTGAGCCACCATGTGGGTGCTGGGAATTAAACCCAGGGCCTCTGGAAGAGCAGCCAGTGGTCTCAACCATTGAGCCATCTCTCCAGGCCCCAATCATTTTATTTTAAATCCCTTGCCCTTGGCCACCGTGGACTTTCATTCTGAAATTGGTTTGACTGTCAATTCTGTGACGTGTGCTTTATTAAACCATTACATATATCTGTTATATATACTTTCAGACATCACAGAGCTCAAGTAGTCTCAAAATAGTTGATGTCTACTTAGCAAAAAACAATGGAGCCAAGAGAGGTGAACCAGCATTTCTGAAGTCCTAGGATAAGTGGGAACTCACGTTTTCTAATGCATGCCTCTTCATTTCCTTTACTATTTCTCACAGACTCTCTTGGTGTTTGCTCCATCAGCTACTAGTACGGTCTATCTACAGAAAACATGTTTGGAAAGTGTACCTATACCTAAGTACCAGCAGCTCTTCTGTGCTATTTTGAGACACTGGCCTAAGATGGCCCAGTGAGCGCATTCTTTTTGGCTAATGCTGCTCTTGTCTGTCAGACCTAAGGCATCTGGAACCCAGCCTCAAACTTGGAAGTGAGTGAAAAAAAAAAAATCTCTGGAGCAGTAAGGAAAACAATTACCATAAAAACCATCCACTAATGCTGGAAGACTCAAAGAGCCACTCAGACTCTGTTCCTAAATGTATTGATTGGCTTTTGAGCTTTAAATGGTGATAAGGGCCTCAGTGGTGTTAGCACTTGCCTAGCATATGAAAAGTCCTTGTTACTGGGGGTCACTGGTGGGGAAGAAAAGGGGTTGGGGGGATAGGCATAATATTTTAACTACAAGGTTCCTAATCTATATCAGTAAAATGACTTTAAAAGATGGAAATGCAGGCGTAGTTTAATTTTAGAATGTTCTCAATCTCTAAACAAACAAAAAGGAAGACACAGATCTATTTGAACTCTGAAAAGGCCCTTTGTCATTCTCCATAGGAGGGAGGGGGTGAGGTGATGCTTCCCGGGAGACTTGTGACATTCTGTTATTCTTGAGACCAGGTATGTAAAGAATCTGACACTTCTAGGAAACACTTTTATGTGGACATTGGGCATTGCATGCTCCCAGTTTAAGTGATATTTCTTAGATAACAGCATCACCGAGGCTTTATGTTGGGTTATGTCTCTAAATTTTGAATGTTCCATCTCCTTGCAGTTGTAATGTGGCCAAAGTGAGGAGCAGATACTGGGAGACCAGATAGACTCATTGCAGTAATTTAGTAGGGAAATGAAAACAGGGGCAAAGACTAGCGAGGGAGAAGACATTAGCTTGAGGGGGCCATAAAAAGGCAGACCTGGAGCCTGGGAGACTCCTCAGAGCACTTCCTAGCATGTACAAGGCTGGTCTATCCCTAGTGCTGAAACAAAACTACAAGGCTTTGGGAGAAGGTGAGTCCATTGCTCACGGGCAGGATGAGGACATTCTGGAGATGTCCTTTAGGAACCTGAACCCACCAGCCTGGATTTCAGGAGACAGAGTGGCTTTGGTTTGTCGCAGCAGAGTGCCTAGAGGACATACCATTCTGGAGACCTTTGTGGGCAAATGGCCCTCCCTGCTGTTCCAGGGCTCCTGACCATTTCCTGTCAGACAACTCAGGACAACCCAGCAATTGTTTCCCAGTTCCTGCCATTTGTCCTCCTTAAGTTCATTTTCCAGAGTAGCCGACATTTTATAAAGTGCAAATCCTTATGACTCCTTGCTTAAAAGCCACCCATGTTTATCAGACTCAAATCCAAAGTGTCTGGCTCTACCTTGTATGTGGCCCCTGCATCTCTTCCAGTGACTCCATCAACCATGCCTAAAGTTAACCTTGAAATTGAGACCTGCTTCTCTCAGGAACTTTAAACCTCATGTTGGAACACTCTTATTTTAGTTCTGAATCTTATCATTTAAACATCACTGCCAAAAGGGTACTTGCTCAGACCATTCTGGTCCAAGCTGTCTCCCACCCAACCACTCCCCACTTGCAATTCCACTGCTCTTTGTTACTCCGATGGTACCCACCTTTGTGTATGGTAATGTGCCTGCTTATATGCTACCAAGGTGTCTGGGGAGTGGGTGTGCAAGGGCAAACTTCCGAATATACCATTTCTTATGAGAGATTGGAAAAGCAGGATGGAACCAGGTAGCGAAAGGCGTTGAATTCCTGTTGAATTTGCTGTTTTCTGAGGAGCCACAGACATGTTTGAAACAGGGCAACCACCTTTCAAATGTTTTACAATACTTGTTTGGTTAAAAAGTTATGAAATGTAATCACTTCACTTCGTGCTTAACTGGTTTAACTACTACACAGAGCTGCCAAATGAGCCAAATGATAAGAATGTGTCTAGACATTCCACCCGACACTAACTTGATGGCTTTAACTGGATTTGTGAAAGAGTTGTACCATTAGTTCCCAATCTGGTTCTTAAACATCTTCCATGCTGGTGTAGAAGAATAGAATTTAGATCTTATAAAACTAGGACCAAACTAGATTAATGCTCAATCTCCACTCAACAGAAATGCAATTCTGGCCAAATCTGTTTGTCAAACTGGGGCATAATCACAACTTGGCTAACAGCAGTGTGCTAGGGCTGAGCAACAGAGCTCAAATTTTAATCAAATCAGTAATAGAAAGATCTTTGGTTCTCTCCATGTAATCCTGTAGAGTATCTACTATGTGTCATATTCCGAGTCCAGCTCTCACGAGACAAAAAGGAGTAAGGTATCTTGCCTGTCTAAGGATAAACTCTGTGGTTTAGCTTTGAGTGTGTAGGACAGCTAAGTGAGCTACATTATTCTGTATAAAGACCAACACAGATTACTTTTCTAAAATCAATCCAATGGGCTTTCTAAGGTTTTGCCAGCTGAAGTATTTGTGTTTTCTCACTCTTTGCTTTTCTAGGCATACTTAAATCAAAAATATTTCCTGTTTCTTGTCTACTGCAATGGGTTGCTCACATTTTAAAGAACAGTATTCCCCAAATAATTTTTCAACACAAAGTATGTATAAATATAAAGTTTATTTAGCATAGTGTTTAGAAAAATAAGTTCACATCATTTCAGAAAACAAATAAAACACTTAATTGTCCAGGCATAACCTCCCCCCCCCAATTACAGTACAACATACAGACTTTAGATCTCTTTGGTTGGGTAATTAAGCACAGAAATGTTCTGGGACATGCTGTGTGCCATCACCTAACAGTGCAGTAGAGGCTCTGTTCCCCACCCCCACGTTATACATTCTGTAGAGTTTCTCTTCATGTAAGGCACAGTAAAACCAATATTGAGTCTACAACTGGTTACCTCTATACGTACAGTACATGCAACAAAATGGTACATTTTTCTTTTGAGAAACCCTGAAAGCCAAGAGTCACATGCTATATAATTTCAATTAATAAAATATACGGTGGTAATATTTAATTAAATTGAAATGTATCAATTAGACACAAAATAACCATTAAGTTCTATCATCTAAGTTTTAGGAAGACTTTGAAACAGCTTTTGTAAAATATAATTATTTTCCCCATAGATTTCCTGAATTATTTTCACGAGATGACCTGACAAAACATTTTAGAGGATGAAGGATTTGTGGTTATGTACTAATGCACACATATTGAGGATGTAGCAAGGCAGTGTGCTACACATGCCCAATAATCCAACTGTAACATGCAGGATAACAAGGGAGCATACAGAGAGAGTTAAGGTCAGTGTGCAATACAACTATGGATTTAAAACAAAACAAAACAAAAAACCTATGACTATAACATCTACCTGCCTTTCACAACACAAGAAAGGCACCAAAACACATCTAAGTCAGTCTTTACTATAATTGTACATGAGATATTTATGCAGTATAGCACAGGTGCTTTTGCTTGTTTGAGGGGGGGAAATGCACCTCCTTCGAATGCTTGACCTCTCTACTAGGTGTAACTAAGAGCTGAGTGCCAGTTCTGGCTGTAGAGTGCATAGATAGCTGACACCAATAATTCCCACAGCCAGCAGCAGGGGTTGAGATTTAAAGGGAGCTATTTACGCCGATTCTGACTCCTCTTCCCAAATCATCAGAGGGTCATTTGCAGCATCTTCAAGCATTGCTTATAGAAAAAGTATATTCTGCCACATGAACTCCAAGGGCTCTGAGGCTGGCCCTTGGTATCTGGAAAAAAAAAGTCAATTGCAATTCTGTGTAAGGAGACCATGGGGTTTATCTTATTCCATTCACATATACATGGGCTACATATCAGCTGGCCCTGATTTACTGAAAGAATAGAAAAGAACAGTAAGTTCTTGTAATGTGCACTGATTCTTACCTGGTGGATTGTATAGCTACCTGGAGTACTTGTAGGGTTAGAAGTACATCATGTTGGACTATGAATACATTTCCTAGGTAAGTATTTAGTTTTGTGCTATCTTTTCTTTCTTATAGGGAGAAAAAGAGAAAGAACTCGGAATAGAAGAGATACTTTCATCAGATACATGAAAGTTTTCCATCACGTGCAAGCGTACACACACACACACACACACACACACACACACACACACCCCTCATATAACTTTTTTACTCTCCCACTTCCCTTACCAGACAGATATTCTAAAATAACTAACCCTTGATATCTGCAGCAGTCTATTGGAAAATATCATTTTTTATGTAAACTATACTACAAGACCATGTAATTAATCACATTAATATGTTCAGCACAACTGGGAGGGAGATGAGGACAACCAAGCTGGGTAAGCAGTGGCCTAGTGAAAGACGACACTAAAACAACTGGCTTTGTTTAAACAGAACAGAAACTCCAAAACAAACAACTTCGGCCCTAAACCACACATTTCAGCAATTGAGGGACATTCACCAATTTCACAAAAAAATGGAACTTAAGTTTTGTTTTGTTTTATCAAAATGATGGCAAGGAATTTTTCATAGGACTCATTATCTAGACTGAAAGTTCCCTCTGTAATAACAGCAAACGTTAAATACTTGGTGACTCTTACTCGACAGGCTCAGATGGGGAGCAGCATATTAGAAATCATGCAGTTCTTTCCCCGTCTTAAAGAAAACAAGGTGTGGTCTTATCTTTATGCATAACAACTGAAAGTCTCCTTTGAAAAGATCACTTTCTTAAATCTGAGACTATGTGCACTAACGACATGAAGGCATTTGCATTGTTACATCTTGGGTTCAGAGTCTTGCTAAAACTTTAATACACAGCTGACCACATCATACAAGGGAATATCCTACAGAAACCCAAAGGATTTGCTTGTAATGGAGACATGATAAAATAGGACAGGCCACAGTCATGTGTCACAGTGTATCAACTAATTCAAAACACCGAGAATGAAGCTTCAATGAGATGGAAGTTTGTGTAATACAATTTAAGTATACTTTGTTTACTTTAAAATGGCTCTCTTCCTAACCTGCATTATTGATGGTCATGGTCTTCCATAATTTTTTTTTAACTTTCATCATAATGAAAAGCATCAAAGCTAACTGTTTATCCATTTGAATGACAAACATCCACATAATATTCAGTGAAACTTAAGTCCTTGCATATGAAGGGGCTCTGCGGTAAACTTAACCCTGTTTGACAGTACAAAAGAGCCATCAACACTTTTGTTGACACTTTTGTACCTTACTGCTAATAAAAAAGGCCACAAGGTAAAAAGGCACATAGGAGTCTATATAAAACATATTTAAACGAATCAAAGTTTCTAAAGAAAGTTGTGACAAGACGTACCAAAATTCCAGTATCGGGGGTTAAAAGTTCCTGTTTCAGTGTAACATTGACCTTAAGAGACTCTTGATAAAAATCACAAAAAAAAAAAAAAATAAAACTTGGTTGGAAACAAAGATGCTCTATTCCTGCTCAAACAATAAATATAAATTAAACAGTAAGAAAACATTTTTCTTTTCAGTTCATAGAGCCTAAAGACTAAGAGACATACATGGTATAAATAAAAATTCACTGTACTTACTCAAATCCTGTTTATAGAACTGGCATATTTACATTCATACCCAAGTAGTGTCAAGAGTTTAGTGGAGTTTCAAACTTTCTCTGACACATTTAACGATCAGCAATCACATTTGGAAACACATAGAGACTTAAAACCAAGCCTTTCCCCCAAATGCTGAAAACGATGAATGTGTGTATGTACACACAAACACACACATATATAAGCTACTTAATTAAAAAAAAATATACCCTTATAATAATCTGGATGTCATTGCTTCTTAACCATCTCAATGCCCATAGAGTAAAAGTAAACAAAAATCAACTGCATTGCTTCTAATGGCCCATAGCTATTATTGAATTTTCTAAGTTAGGTGTATACATTTTAAATTTAAAATATTATCACGTACCATTTCAACCTTAGAATTATATTGCTGACTAAATGATATACGATGGTTTGATACACTTCACTTGTTGCCTTGTCGCCATGTATTTAAAAGCGAACTGATGTGAACAGAAAGGCTTCAGCAATGTAGTTCCACTCCTGTATATTTAACTATGATCTTCATGCAGATCAATCCAAATACATTTGCTTGCACAGGGAGAGTGCTTTCCTCTAAAGGAGTAAAGGCTCTCCATCTTCAGGGATTCACAGGGGAAAAAAATTGCTGCTGATGGGGAAACGGGGTATGTGTGTAGCGAATCAGGTTTATAAGTCTTGCATATCTTCATCCAACTGGACAGTTTGGAGCTTGGCCAGCTCTTTTTTGTCTGTTCCCAGCTCTTCACAGACAGTTTCAACCATGCCATCCAGGACATACTTGGATTTGGAGTCCAACATCATTAAATTGTTTGTTGCTTTGTTCTCGGAACTTCGTAGGAAATTCTCTTTTATGTTAGCTACTGACTGCAGAACCAAGCGATGTTCTCTGACAAAATCCTGGTGTACCGCTGGTGAGGCATGGCCCACCTGCTCTTCAGCTGTAGGAACAATTTCCCCTAGGGCAGCCTGAGTCATAGGGACTGACAATAGTTCTTGACCAGTAATAAGGGAACAGTTCTGAAGGGTTGCATAGTTAGTATTGCTGACAGATGTCACAGTAGATTTGCTTGCCACAGGTGCAGACATTGGCTGACTCTCAGCAATGTCAGGGTTTAGCTCAGTGGGATTTAGTAGTGTAGGGGGAGACAGGGAAAAACTGTGAGCTGGGGACACATTAACTAGTGAAGAGGCCAGGGGGTGGAGGCCACTTCCAGAGATATCTTCAGAAGATAGATTTGCATTTACTTGTGCATTGTGATTGACAGGCATCAACTGAGAAAAAACCAGGCCTCTTTCTAAGCCTTCCTGTTTCACAGCTCCTACAGTCTGGCCTGAATTAGGAACAGTGTATACCACTGCACTGGGAGCAAGAGGGCTCAGGAACAGTTTGCCATGCTGGACTGTGGTGGATTCACTTGTAAACGTGCTTCCGTCTGAAGTGCTTGGATTTACTGAAATATTACCTAGGGGGAAAAGTACGGATTGGCATTAATGCAAATGATACAGAAAGAAAAAACAAACAAACCAGTTACTTCTGTAACACACATGATTTTTCCTCAGGTATAGTATTTATGGAGAGGTGGTACTTAAAAGTATAGCTGAGTCCAGCTTGGGCACCGTAAACTGTAGAGTCCCAGGCTCCGAATCCAATCAGACTAGCTGTCTCTCTCTCTATTTTTTATTTCTTTTGAAGTGCTGGTAATTGAACTCAGAGCCTTCTACACACGGGGCAAAAATTCTGCCAGATTATTTATATTTGTTAACTCCCCATGTAATTGTAATGACCAGATGAAAGAGAAAGCAAGTGTAGGGCCTGAGGAGAGAGTTCAGTGGCAGAGCACCTGCACGGTGCAGGCCTTGGATTCAATTTTTAGCATCACCAAAAATTAAAAGAAAAATAAAAGCCAATCAATCAAAGCAAGCAACAATGTGAGAGCTGGGGATAAAGTTGAGGCAGGAAGACTGAATCTGAGCCTAGCCTGGGTTCAAAGGGGAAAAAAAAAAAAGGAAAATGAAGAAGAGGAGGAGAAATAAATTCTTGTCTGAGTTCTGATATCTGAGTTTCTGGCTCATTACCACCTCTTCATCACTAACACTGCCAGTTAGAACGAGACAGCACAGATGCAAAATAAAACATTTTTGTTAGGCCTGCTCAGTTACTGAAAATATTAGAAATACAACATAAGATGAGTTTCTTTAGAACTTACCAGCTAAACCACACCGACTTGTACAGACAAGTCGCAGAGTGTCACCAAACCACCAATAAAGCAGTCTCCAGTCAACGTGACCCTCAAGGTGATTTTTTTCCCCTCCTTTTGTTGTGCTTGCTCTAAATTTTCAGTGTTGCAGTGATGGGAAGAATCAATGGTAACACTGAAGTACTAATTTTGAAATACAGAAGAACACAGAGGAGTAGAACGAATGCCTCTTTAAAATGTGTGTGTCTCAGTCGGGCAGTAGCGGCGTATGCCTTTAATCCCAGCACCGGAGGCAGAGGCAGGCGGATCTCTGTGTTGGAGACCAGCCTGATCTACAAGAGCTAAGTTCCAGGTCACTCTCCAAAGCCACAGAGAAACCCTGTCACGAAAAACCACACACAGACTAGAAGCATAAAATAGCTGATCATATGAGGAACTTGGGGAAATGCATCAAATAAAACCCCCTTTGAGTCTTTACAAAGTGAACTGATGGTGATTAGGTGATGACCCAGGCCCCTAAATATTGCCATTGAAGGAAAGGTGAGTTTGGGAAGAGTTCTGGTTAAGAATTAGAATGGATTGCTACTTATCTACCCTGCTCTTGAGTTAGAGGTTAATCCATTCCTTTATGAGAGCAGAAAACAGGCCAATAGTAAGTTAAGTACTCAACATTGCCCTTCCTGAATTATTAGAGAAACGGTGATTATAGTATCACCTATGTTAACAAGTGCCACAGGGCCATTTACATGTCTTCTGACATTTTAAAGCGCCATTTGTAAGCAAGAGCATCTTTACATGAGAAAAAGAGAAAACACTGAATTTGAACTCCTTTAAAAATGTTAACTACTAGCATGTAAGTATGCACCACAGAAAGATTGTTAAGGAAAAACACTTCTGTGTGTATGTTTTGGCTGTTCTCTAACATAAATGTATTTTTCAGGCCATACAAATGAACAGACTGCTTCTATTTTAAACCTTTTGGTTTCAAGTGTGTTTTAAAAGTCTCACAGGCTTCAAAATTGTAAGGCGGGAAAAGCCACAGTCCATGTTGACTTTGCTTTGTGTGTGTCTGTGAAACTGTTTACTAGCAGAAATGTGTACAAAAATGGTTCCTTTTTTGATAGAGTCATAAAAAACAACATATGCATGTAAAGAACGTATATAAATGAAGGGAAAAACAGATATATTCCAGAGGATGATTTTGGTTTTGTTTGTTTGTTTTGTTTTTTTGTTTTTTCATTATTGGGGATTGAACCCAAGGCCTCACACATAAAACATGATTTTGTTGTTGTTTTGAGACAGGGTCTCTCTATGTAGTCCTGGAACTCACTAAGTCAACCAAGTTGACCGCAAACACAGAGATCTGCCTGCCTCTGTCTCCTAAATGCTAGGCTTAAGGAAGACCTGTACCTCCATGCTAAAACATAATTTTAAGGTATAGCTGCAGCTGAGTTACAAATTAAACAATAATTTAAAAATCAGTACAAAAACTGAACTTAAAAATCCCAGGAACATAGCCCAGCGGGATGGTGCATGCCTTTAATCCCAGCACTGGGGAGGCAGAGACTGGCAGATCTCTGCGAGTTCAAGACCAGCCTGGTCTAAAAGAGCTAGATCCAGGACAGCCTCCAAAGCCACAGAGAAACCCTGTCTCGATTGCCGACCCCCACCCCCCCCCAAAAAAATCCCAGGAACAAAGTATAATTTTACAACAATGCTAATCGGGGAAGAAAACCCTCTTTGATTTTTCAAATGAATACAGATATAGACAGTTTGCTTTTCCATGTAACCTCCTATATAACTTTTCCAGTTATCTAGGAAGACTGGACTATATGTTGATGGACATTTTAAAGAATGTTTAGTGTAAGTTTGATTTGGCTGGTATTTTTTGGAGACAGACTCTCGCAATATAACATGATATGAGTTGAAACTCACTATGTAGCTCAGGCCTTGAACCCCCAATCCTCTGGCTTTAATCTCTCAAGTATTGGGATCACAGGCATTTACCACCATACCCTATTTTTTTTTTTAAGTTCAAATTCCCAAAACGCTTTATTGCAAGGTGTAATACACCACTACTACAAGGGAATGTTGCCTACTGGAACCATCTGGTTAAACTTATGCTTTCAATTTGTCTAGAGAGTCAAAGGGTTGACAGCCCTGTCATTTGATCTTAGCTATTTTAACTGATAATGCATTCTTATTCCTAGTAAATATCCCACTTAAAAACTAGCTATTGCTGGGTATTGCCGGTGATGGTGCACACTTTTAATCCCAGCACTTGGAAACAGAGGCAGTCAGATTTCTAAGTTTGAGGCCAGCCTAGTCTACAGAGTGAGGTTCAGGTCACCCAGGGCTACACAGAGAAACCGTGTCCTGAAAAACACCAATTTTAAAAAAAAGTAGAAAACAACACCCTCCTCCCCATACTTTTAATATGATAGCACTTTTCTTGATTACAGATGAAAAGTATTGTTTTATTTCTCCTCTGCCAACATATATATTCATACTTTGCTGTCTTTAAAATGTTACAAACTGCTTGGAAATTTTTGTAAAGAGGGAAAATGGGCTAGAGTTGTAAATTATTGTAAAAGTAAGCTCTTTGGCTTTCTCTGGGGCATTTGTCTTTTGTCCCTAAATTGGATAGTGACTTGGGTTAAATCTTTACATAGAGCAATAAACATCTGAAGAATGTGTTACAGGACCATGGTGGCTTACTTAAGAGAGACAAATATATGGAATGAAATGTACATCCATTTTTTCATTAATGCCTCCAATAAGTTGAAGCAGACTATAGCTATAGAAGCAAGAGTTGTATATAAATTGACCATGTTTCAGAAGGCTAACCTTTGGTAAAAATCTGGACTTTCAGATTTGCTTATAGAAAGGCAGGCACGATCATCTCCCTCTCCTAAGAGCTAGAGACCATGTAATGTCCAATACTCAAGTCTAACCGTTCCTATTTTTCTAAAGAGAAAAATGATGAGTGATCTAGATTTTATTCATGTTCCTGAAGAACTATGTGCCAGCCTCAGGCTTATTTCCTTTGTCTAACAGACTTCGGTTAGTAAAGCCACAAATACGCAATGACACAGTTGTTTTCATAAGTATAAACCCACATAGCTGAGAAATGAACATGCATCTAGAGCAACAGAAAACTCACATAGTCGTCTAAATTTCTTTTAGGTCTTTTAGGTTTTAGTATTAATTGTAGGAAGTACACAATGCAAACAAGAATAGATTCTGTCTTTTAGTTTATTCTTTTAAAATATTTTTTCTGGTCAAATAAATAACTGCTCGATTAACTTTATGTTCCTAGCAATTTTATTAATTTTTAATTTTAAAATGTCAAGTACTGGGTTATTTTATAAGTACTGATTGACTTATCATATTCCTGTAATTGTAGAGTTGGCAAGATCTGCTATAGACTGTACTTTTCCATTCTGTTTGGGGAAAATAAAACTCCATCCTCAGGATGTGAGAGAATCAGGAAAGCTGAATAGTATTTAGACACAGGGAATCATATCAAGGCTATTCTGTAACCGTGGAAACCAATGTAGTGTCTGAACAATAGCATCAATCTATACCTCTCACTAACGCGTCATTTTATGGCAGTTGACCAACTCATGCCCTGGTGCATCATGGTACCAAATGAGGCTTTTACCTTGTGAAGCTGCTACTGAGACAGGAGGCAGCTGCAGTGGAGAGAATCCAATGCTCCCATTAAGGAACTGGCCATTTGCTCCGGAATTAGGGATCTGGACAATGCCATACTGGTTAATTTGCACTGGTGTAGTAAAAGTCACCACAGAGCCCCCATCCTGGGAGGCCACTGTCTGGATGCCTTCTCTTTTCACTTCAGTGCAGGGTATCAGCCCTGGGAATGTCACAGGGGCACTAGGGCTGTAGGAGGTGGTGGCTGCTGAGTTCACAGCAGAACTCTGGAGGACTTTGAATTCTTTCACATCCTGGGAGGTAGAGCCCAGGATGTCCGTCATGGCTATGCCATTGCTCACAATGTTTGAAGACATTTTTGATGGGTTCAGTGACACTGTCTGTGTATTTCCCACATTCAGTCCATTAAGGATAACGCCATTGTGTCCCTGAATAAAAGAATTACCATTAAGGAAGACAGGCGAAGTACTTGCCGGTACCAAGCTTCCATTCAACAAAACTCCAGAAGAGCTTAGTGATATCTTAGCATTTCCAATCTGTTGCATATATACTGGCTCCATGTGGCTAGAAAGGCTGAGGTTGGTGACGGCATCAGATGCACCAGGAATTGGGTGAGGAGACAAATCCTCATGTCCCTTGCTGGATTCATCTTCAGTGCTGGGGTTGCCATCTGATTCACTGTCCAGGGAGAGAAGACATTTGAAGGTCAAGAGGATGACAATCTATATAGTTTGTAAAACATCCTTCAAAACCATTTAAAGGCAGTATTATATCAAACCACGACAGTTCATCTGCTGGCCCTGTTGAAACTATGATATTTTAGCCAAATTCTGCCCAGCCAGACAATGAGAGGATGAATTCAGATCCTAATATTATTTTTTATAATAAATTCAGAGAAAGAACAGAGGGTCGGATAATGGAAAACGCAACTAAAATAACTTAACACTGTGTATTCATTCTTAGAGAATTTATGCGCTTCTCCAACTGTTAAATGGACTACAACTTTTGCCATAGAAACAACTCATTAAATATTGTGTTTTTCCCTGTTCAAGGGACCCGTTTCTAACCCATTTCACATTTGTGTTATTTTGAAGGTAGATGGAATCACCAAAGGAGGTAGGAAGAGTTCAGCTTTTTTTGTTTATTATTTGGAGACAGGGTTTTTCTGTGTAACAGCCCTGGCTGTCCTGGAACCCACTCTGTAGACCAGGCTGGCCTTGAACTCAGAGATCCTCCTGCCTCGGCCTCCTGAGTGCTGGGATTAAAGACATGCGCCACCACCACCCCGGCTGTGGTGTTCAGTATCATTTGCTAGTTAGCTAACAAGATATTATTTTCTCACCTGCTCCCAAACTTCTACTCCACCAGACTGACAATTCTTATTCAATAAAGTGATTGCCCTTGTAGGAAAGACACTTGCGACCCAAGATATATACAGTTGCTTTTGAATTCAAAGGAACCAAAGGGGCCTATTTAATATACACCATTCACTGCCCTAGTGAGGTGGGAGGGAAAAGGTGAGCATCGCTCAATGGTCTTATAACTATCAGACTCCTTTCCAGACTCCTCAGTCCTTCTGTTCCAGGATCCTGTACTTAAGGGAATACAAGTTCAGGTCAGGAAGGAATGATGGAAGTTTTCCTCATTTGGTTTGAGTCTGGGCGGGGCAGGACAGAAGCTGTTTGGAAGCGTGGTGGGACTTGGTCCAGCTGAGAATCCAACATCCCAGTGTGATCGGTTCCCTTTCAAGCTGAGGGGAGGGGATTACCCGGGCTTTGGGCTTTGGGGCCAGGAGCGCAGAAAGAGCTTTGATTTACGAGCTGAGGCTGAGCAGCCGTCGCCATTGGTGAGGGTGACTCACCAGGGGTGCTGGTGGGAGGTAGATCCGGAGAGAGGCCTACACTAGGCAATTGGGTTGGGGGTTGAGGGTTGAGGGTGTGGAGTTAATGGGGAGTAGAGCAGAGCATGGCTCAGGGTCTCTCTCTCTCTCTCTCTCTCTCTCTCCATCTTCTTCTGTGTGTGTGTGTGTGTGTGTGTGTGTGTGTGTGTGTGTGTGTGTGTGTGTGTGTATGTGTCCTGGGAACTGGGCCGGTTCCGTAGCAAAGGCTGCAGGACAACTGGCCTGCATGTGGCACGGGCTTCGTACCCAGTGTCCTGGCCTAGCAGATTCCTTCGGTGCGTCTGCAGAGCACTCCAAGGTAGATAGGTCGCCTAATCATTGCTCCTTCTCTGGCTCTCCTTCTCCTCCCTCTCTCAAGACAGAGGAAGGGTGCTCACAGGTCGCCGGGCATGTTTTGTTTATGGTTACCGGGAGCCAGGGCCAGGACAGCACAGTGTGCCTCTCTTCAGCCTGGGGCCAGCTGTGGGCCTCCGGGCTCCACCCGGGCGCAGGGGCAAAGCAGCGAGGGCGAGCTGCTGCCGGTTCTGGAATGCGCAGGGCGATCACCTTCACCTGGCCCAGGCGGACTGGCTCCCTGGATCCCGGCTTCTGTCCCAGTGCAGAACATTTGAATTGCATTTGGATTCTTTTCTCTCCAATTCCCTCCAAGGCGGGAGACGCCATCCTCAAACCTTTCCCTTACTTTACCCGTCCAATAATACACACACGCACAGAAACATAAACATACGCATACACACCCAAGGGGCTGACTTGAAAGGACACACAAAAGGGATGGCAAAATGCATTTTTCTACTAAAGAAGGGAAAAAAAAAACATTGACAATGAAGTCCAAACAAGATAGAGTGGGGGCTGAAGGAGGACTGAGTGGATAGCTTCCCCACTTCTTTCCTGAAGTCCACCTTATGCCAGCTTGTCATCTGTCCCCAACTGCTCCTTCAGGAGGGAATCGTGCTGTGTTAGGAGGCCCGAAAAACTGCCCTTCAGCCCTGCTACCTCTGAAGCACTGTAACCCGATCCGAACTTGTTCAGAATCAGGTTTCAAAACACCGCAGGGACGAGCTGCATGAGCACCCCACGCTGCCCTCGCCGCGATGGGAACCGCGGCGGGCAGGGTGAATGATTAACTCTGTCACATTACAGCCTCGACGGCCCCAGACCCCATATAGGACACTAGTCTCCACTACCGCTCTTTTTCCATCCAGAGCGGTCCTGGCGACCTCCAGGACGGGCCCCGGGCTCAGTCGAATCCTGGGTATCCTGGAGCATGTGCGCACTCCAGGCTCTGAGCGACCCGGAGGAG